GGAAAATATTAATTGAATATATATTAATATCTATTAGGCTTCTGGAGTCCATCCATTTCTTCCCCAGGCATAAACATTTTGCTAGGCCTCTAAAAGCTTGCAGGCCGTTAGGCACTGTGCCTCTAGTGCTTAATGGTTAAGTGTCCCTGAAGCTAATTTGAAAAGCAAATTGCCTCAGTCCTTCCAGTAAAATTTTAAGAGCTGTTTAAGCCAAAATCCCCTCTTTCTTAAATGGTTTAATAAAGTTTCAGATTTTTAGCTAATACTTTGCAGGAACAGAAATATTCCTAAATTCCCTAGTCCTAGAAAATAGTCACAACAGTAAATACGTCAAGTCTGTACTGTTTAGGGAACAAGGAGACTTTATTGTTTGTATTAAGAGAGGGATCCTGGTGAGAGTAGGGCTCTGGGTGCAGGCGAATGGTAAATTGTGACACGAGACTGCTTCTTTTTTCCTACAAGGATGTTGCTGTCAATTGTGTAACAATGAAGGCATTTTGTGTAAGGATTTGAGGCTCAGGTAAGTTTTTCAAAGCCGCGCTAACTTTTTTATCTGAGAGAGTATTTCCGGGTACTTCAAAAGCATAGTGATGCTTGAAAAAAGGCCAAGTTTGTACAGCTCTTAGGAAGCTGCCAGAGTTCTGCTTAGAGATCCTCACTGCAGTAGCTTCCTATTACTGTACTTTAAGAAAAATATGACCCTCACTCCTGTTTCAATCGTCGAAAGAACGGGGTCATTACAGAGTTCAGTGTACCTCCAAAGGGAGGCTACCCGCGCGGTCAAGGAGAATGCAAGCTACAGATCTGGCAGCTTGGGCCACGGTTTTCGTAAGGAATCTCCACTTTGTCGCTTGCGTCGTCAGCACCGCCCCAGGACAAAGGGTGGTGGCGGCGGGCGGGGGTCAGGGGCTCGGGCTGCATTAACGGGAGGCTGTTTGTGCGGCCTGTTTGCAGGTTACTCGGTTTCAACACCAAGCCAGCCTTTCCCCAGGTCCCCGGAGGACCTCGGGCCTGAGCGTCACCCAGACGCCCGGGTGGCCCACAGGAAGCAGCCGGGCAGCTTCCCCAGGGCCGGGACTCCGGAATGTCACCCGCGGGGACCAACACCACGTGGACACACGGACTCGGGCTTCGCTCCGGGTCGGCACCGGGAAGGCGGTCCCCGGGGCGCTCCCGGCAACGCCTCCGCCGCCGGCCAATGAGGAGCGGGGGCCGCGTCGGGGCCTTCGCTCATTGGGTGGCGCTGGCCCCGCCCCGCGGTGAACGCAGCCCTCCGCCCGCTGATCAAGTCTCAGCCACCGAGTCGCGGGGTCCGGCTCGTGTGCGCTCGCCGCTGGTGCGCCGCGTCCCGTGGCTCCCTTTCTCCTGATTCTGTTGTGTGTCTTTCAAACCCCGACGCGCCCGTTTCCTAGTTTTATCTTCCTCGGTCTTTTTCTCTCTCCTTTCTTCGCAGCTCAGCATGCAGGAGAAAGACGCCTCCCCGCCCGGTTTCCTACCTGGCTTCCAGCATTTCGCCACGCAGGCCATCCGTGCGGGCCAGGAGCCGGAGCAGTGGACCTCCCGGGCTGTCGTGCCCCCCATCTCATTGGCCACCACGTTCAAGCAAGGGGCTCCCGGCCAGCACTCGGTGAGCTGGGTCTGTCGGGGGCGGTCCAGGGTTGGGGGAGGAAAGAGAGATGGCATGTAAGTGAAACAGGCACGCAAGTAGTTTATAAGATGGATTATATATCAGGAAGGCACCCCGAAAGGATTGCAAGGATGCAGTAAAGCTTTGTATTGAATGGTACAGTGATCATACTTCTTTTGATAAGCAGGACTGGAAGGAACAGTTTGTCCAACTTGCCGTATAGTTTTGGACTGAAATTCATGTGATTTTAGCAAATTTGCAGTTCAAACCTGAGGATCTCATGATTTCCTTGAATTACCTTTAGCAGCAAAAGTTATAAAGATATAGTGAGTCAGCTAAAAAAACATTTAAGGGTCTGATAACTTGCCTAGAATCAAGATCATTCCTGATAACTGTATTCAGTTTGTTAATAGTTACTGAGAACTTACTATGTGCTAAGTATGTACTATGGAGTACACGCTTACATGTATTATATCATGTGTATTACATGTACTGTCTTGGCTAATCCTGACAACAGCCCTAGTCGGAACTGGGTTCTCATTTTTCTCATGAAAAATTGAGATGTGGGGATGTTAAGTAACTAGCCTAAGGCTACGTGGCTAGTAGGTGGTGGAGCTGGGATTCCAACCCTGTTCTAGAATCCCACTCTTAGGCATTAGGCTATGCTGTGCTCTACTCCAACAATGCTAGCAATAATCTAACCCATTGCATCATGTAAGCAGTGTGGCTGACTGATTAAGAGCAAAAATCGTGTAGTTAGAGGCCCAGGGTTTGAATTCTGACACCACCTCTTCTGAGCTGGGTAATCTTGAGCAAGTTACTTACCCTGTCCAAGCCTCAGGTTGGTCTGGTGTAAATGGGATCAATAAATTGTTGATATGTGTGTTAAGCTGTATGGTATATTACAATTGCTCAGTAGTTTGGTGTTTCACGGTGTTTACATTTACACTTTTTCCATTTGATCCTGACAACAACCAGGTCAGAGGGCAGGACAGGTATTATACACTTTTTATAGAAAAGGAATTGACCCAGAGTCAGAGATGAATGACTTCTAAGGCTTATGAGAGAGTCCTCTTTGTTAATCACATAGCCTTTTCCCTTTTGGTAGCATACTTGATAGATTTTGAAGTATTTAAAAATTGCTGAGTTTCAGAAGAAATTAGTTAAACTTTGTAGGTCCAAAACCTTGATTATACTTCAAAAACCTCTTTAGTGTGTTAAGTCATATAAGTTAGGAACAATTCTTCTAGATTTAGCCCATTGCTTTGTGAAGTAGAGTTCTAAGGGCATTTCTACAGCTGGCTTAGGATACTTTTAGCTACTCTACTTTGGAATCAGAATATGTACACAGCCTATCTTCCAAGCATGTGGTCTGTTCCTAGCATACGGTTTCGTGAATGTGTAGATGACCAAGCTTTAGCACTTAGTACAAAAGTTAACCAGTTAGCTATGGTATTAATAATTAAATGTTTCCAGAGAGCCAGCAGGGATGGTAAAATCCACAAACTCCTCTTACTACCTTTACAAAATCAGTTAAGAACACTAAAGAGAACGTGAGGAGCTGAATGAGAAGCATCTAATTCTCCAGTTCCATTTAGAAAGCCATTGAATGGGCGAGAGGGTGGGAATTTGTCACTGAATGGGCTTCTTCCCCCGCCACAAAACCACAGATCCACACAGAAAATAGGGGGAAAAACACGGGACACCTCTCTGGCACAAGACACACAAAAACAAAAACAGTTTTTGTGTCTCGGGAGAACACAGCCACAGCACACAAAAAAGAGGAGAGCAAGAAGAGAGAAGAGAATACCCGAGACCCATAAAAAATATCTACGCAAAATCTCACAAAAAAAAAAAAAAAAAAAAAAAAAAAAAACAAAAAAAAAAAAAAATCACTAGTACTGGGAGCTCTTGAATCAGAAAGAAAGGTGTAAAGAGTAGTTATGTTTGTTATGTGCTATATGAGGCAGGGGAGAAAATTATAGTGTTTGTATTCCATGTTTAAATCCTGGGTTTGAATTCGGGCTCTGACACGCCCTATGACATTTAGCTTCACTTTCCTCAAAGCAGGTCGTGAGGATTAAATAAAATGACTGGATGGATACAGCTAGCGTGCTGCCATACATGTAAAAGGCGCATAATGCAAATTTTAAAAAAGTATTTTGTGGAGCCGCTCTGCCAAGAATTCCTCTCTGTTTTTCGAGTCGCTTTTGTAGAGCCAAGATCTGAACTCTGCGCATTTGCAGGATCTGGTCATAGCTTCCTGTGGGTGCTAAACAGAGCTCCCATCACTTGTTTCTTAGGGGGTAAAATATAGGTTAGAATTAGGTTGACTCTGTTGGCTTAGGTGATTCCTTTTTCCTACTGTCCCTAGATTAATGGGTAAAGGTGAGTCTAACATAATAGTAATGCCGGTAGTAAAAACAACCATTTGTCTAGTGGTTAGCATGTGCCAGGCACCGTGCAGAGAACTTATGGTACATTATCTCATTTTATCCTCATGACAATTTTATGAACTAGATATTTGTGTTTTATTCCCACTTTACAGATACTGAGATTGACTCTGGGAAATGTTGTCAGTCACCTATAGGCATGTAGCTCAGTGGCAGATACAGAATTCTAATCCAGTTTGGCTGACTTCAGACCTCCCCACACCACTACAGCCACAACACTGTCACGCTTCTGTCTAATGGCAAGACATGTCATATGTAAAGAATAGGAAATCACGATGGCAGGATGAGCCCATGGTTGTGGAGATGTCTGTGTTGGGACTCGGATAATAAATCTCTCAGGATGAACTCTAACTTCTTCTCTTCAGGGTTTCGAATATAGCCGTTCTGGAAACCCCACCAGGAATTGCTTGGAAAAAGCAGTGGCAACACTGGATGGGGCTAAATACAGTAAGTGATTTCCATTTCCAGGTTTGTGAAGTCTAGAATGCATTCCTCTATGTATAGAGAAAATCATCGAGGCACAGGATGTAGAATTAGAATGAAATAAGGATTAGCTGGTTCCAAAGTCTTATTTTACTAAGACATTGAATTATTTGCCCAACATCCCAGAGCTGGTAGAATATGCATCTGTGTAATCATTAGGTAAAAATAAATACGAGTAGAGGCAAAATGGCATAATTTGCCATTTGGTGTTCATGTAAACCTGTCAGTATAAAAAGATAAAAATTAACTAAGTTTTATAACACTACTTATGAGAATATAAGCTTTCTTATACTCTGGTTTATTCACCTGATAGTTTGTGCCTAAGAATAGCACCAGTGTATGTTTGCAATAGCCAGGTGCCCTTGATAATGTGCTCTCAGAGATTAGGGATTAATTCCGTGAATCTTGTGTTTTCTTCGTGAAGGGATTGGATTGCTGTTAAATCATCTTTGTGTATTTTATATAAATGATACTAAATGAGAGCAGATTCTTGGCTAGAAAATAAGAGTCTTATGAGTTTTCTCACTGCAAGAATGTAGGAATTAGAAATGTTAATGTGAATTGCTGCGTTTGTTTGGGATTTTGGGGGGTTTTTGTTTTGTTTTGGATGAGATTAAACACTAAACTTCCGTAATTTAGTGCTGTATGGGGAACATTATTTCCTGCAGGAAGTGTAAAGGCTGAGTGTTCATATGCCAGACACTTTTTCAAGTGGGCTCTGGGAAATATGGTCGTTTTCCACTGGGTTTAAAATGTAGCCTTTTATATGAGTTCACTGTTGGACCTCAGATCTGCTTAGTAGAGAACTGTAATCCCAGCCTAGACTTCTCTGAGAAGATTTTATAATAATTACATTTTTCAAGTTAATTATTATGGATTATGCCTTTTGCCAGTCACAGATGGTTTTTATCATCAAGGTGATATGTTGATATTTTGTCAGCATATTTTCTTTTACAGTTTAATGTGCACAATGCATGTTATTTTTTTATTAGTCATTTTTATTATTTTTGTTCAATTTGAGATTCAGGATCACTTTTGTTTAAAAGAGATTCTGCATAACAAATTAAAAAGGAAATTTATTAAATTTATCAGACACATCTCAGGTCTGATTTTGAATTTTGTTAAAATATTTATTTGCTCAATTGCATATTCATATAGTTAATGAAAGAATATATCTTATCTCTATTCACCAAGTTTGAAATTTCTTTAGAGTTTGATTTTTTTACATTGTAATTTAATTGGCAATTGGCCTTTTATCTCAGACTTTTGTAAAGAATTATTTCCTTGAAGTGTTTCAGAGAAATGTTATAACCAAAGCAGAATTATATATTTTTTATTTTAAAGACATTTTGTCTTTGAAATAGAAAGGGGGATTTTGTAATGGTATTAATCGGGGGACGTCTGTCCTTCCATCAGCAGAGAGAGGGACATAAGTAATGCAAGTAAATACTGTAGGTGTTTTTAACCTATAGGTCTGGCTTTTTGGCTTACTCTAACTTGGTTTTTATTTTAGGTTTGGCCTTTGCTTCAGGTTTAGCAGCCACTGTGACTATCACCCATCTCTTAAAAGCAGGGGACCACATTATTTGTATGGATGATGTGTATGGAGGTGGGTGACCGCTCTCTTTCATGTTGTGTCAGCTGACATTTTAAAGATACTGAAGTGGGTCCTGAATTATAGTAGCACTGTAACCAGGATTATTGATTAAATTTTAAAGGTGTGGTGGACCCTCCATGCTGGCTCCGACTTGGTAAAGGGGGAGCATGAACGCTTTGTGTCCCTGCTCTGGAACTGCGTATAAGAAAGACTGTCTAATAAGAATTTTACTTAAGCTGCTGGAATGAGGATGTAGGACTTGATCAACTTTCAAACATATTTTACTCTAGAGAAGACAGTGTTTAAAGGGAGAGCATTCTAGTGTAATTTGTGATTTTACCTGCAATGAAGATGAACTGTAACCCAGGTCACTCTCAAAGAGCTTAACTCTACCTACCCCTTTTGGTTTTAGGGGACCTTTTGAAAATCTGTTGAAGGCTATGGACTCCTTTCCCTAAAAAATGTACTTAAGGTGACACCCAATGTTTATCATTTTAATTTTAGGGTCAAGGAGTCTCACCCATTGAGGCCCATCCATAGAGTCCCTTGAAGCCTATTTATGGATCCAAATTTAAGGACTTCCATTCTAAGGGGTTTAAATGCTAGTTATTTAAAGTGGCGAGTGGGAAGGTGAAGAAGACAGTCACCCGTGCCTTTAAGCAAGACTCATTTTTGTGTTCAAAACAACAGCAAAAAATTTTGTAAATATACATATATATTCCAAATGCTTCCAAATAATTAAAATGTGACTGCTAGAATATTATTATCATTTTATCTATCTCCTATCTGAACAAAAGGTTACATCTGTAAGTTCTTTGAAGCAAAGGACTCACTCTTAGTAATCACTTTATCCCTCAGAAATTTGCAAAGTGCTGTGTATTTTATCTTAGGTCCCTATGATAGTTTGTTGAATTGAAATTATAAAATCTCAAACTGTTAGTTACTTTTTGAATGCATTATAAAAAGCTCATGGCAAATGTGGTAGAAAATCTTGAAAATAGCTGTTGATTTTTAAAAATCTTTACATTTATTTTTCAATCTTATATTACTGAGGGTCAATTTACATAACATCAAAAGTTGAGTATATTTTTGATTATAGAATATATTTCTTTTTTTTTTTCTGGTCGACTCTCAATAACAGCAGTTTTCCCTTTAAATTTGCATCTGTAAAAATCAAATCTAGAACAGCGTTTATAAAGGAAATGATTCCAAGTTGAATGATTTATCTTTTTTCACTATGTAACTCTAGTAGTTTGATTTACATTGTCTCATTTAGTATCAAAGCTTTCAGAACCACATAACAAAAAGATTGAGAAAGCACAAAGAATAGTAACCAATTCTTTTCTGTTACCAAAGTATAATCAGATTGAACATTTATTTTGAACATTTCATTCACACTGTTTCATTTATTTTAGATTTGAGTACTAGGAAGAAATTGTTAAAAAAGATATTGATGTTTCAGGGAGCATGCCGCTTAATGTTCAAAGAGTAGAGATTGTGTGTTTTGAGAATTATTTTCTGCTTCATGCCACTTTGTGTGAATATCAAATGTGTTTTGTTTGCCTCTTTAACTTGTGGTTTAAAATCCAAGCCTTATATTCTTTACTATACCAGATAGCCAAACTATTTAACCAACGTAGAAGTGCTTTTAGGTCTATTTTTATTGATGATTCACACTTGCTTATGTTTTTAAAAGTGTTTATACCTATAAGGAATGAACATTTCTTAATATGATTCTCTTCTGCCTCAGGTACAGGCACCTACTTCAGGGAGGTGGCATCTGCGTTTGGATTAAAGGTTTCTTTTGTTGATTGTTCCAAAACCAAATTGCTAGAGGCAGCCATTACGCCAGAAACCAAGGTAACTCCGTTAGTTTTCAGTTTTGTCTGTTTTACCTGTGATGTTTTGTTTTTATCATTTCTGTTTACTAGAGGACGTAATTTAAATCTGAATAACAAATTTTATTAGAAGCCATTGGAAACCATCAACAAGAGTAAGATAGTTCTGACATCTCCTAATTACTGTAGCATAGTGATTAGGTACATAAATTCTGGAGTGGGATTCAAATTCTAATTCTGTATCATAGTTGGTGTATCATCTTGGACAAATTGTTTAACCAAAGTCTCAATTTCTTCATTTGTAAAATGAGGATAATTGCACCCGCTTTATAGAAAGGTGGTTGTGTGAATAAAATGACATAATGCATATGAAATGCTTAGTACAGTGCCTTATACATAATTGTTAAAAATTTGTTAGCGAGAGCACACAATGCTTAACTGCATTACCAAGTTAGTATTGGTAGAAGAAGTCATCAGAGAGATTGGGTTACAGAAAAGGATGCTTTTGCCAAGCTCCAAAACCCTAAACATAGTGGCTTTTTGAGGGTTCTAAAGTATACTTGAGCAAAATAGTAGTTAGCAGGAGAGAATGGGCCGCAAGCCATCTTTAGCCTCCGTCCTGGGAAGCTTGCGTGCTGCTGGAAGGTGTTTTGTGACTGATTGAATGGCATACGCGATATTCTTTTTTGAGGCCTCATTTAAATTCTGCCCGGTTAAAGGAAGGACCAGTGTCTTTCATAAGTCAGCCTTTTCCAACTCTTTGCTAATGACTAAAAGTTTTGAATTGTGCTCAAGATTATGTTACAGTGAATGCTGAAAAATGAAAACTTTTTCTCACACAAATAGTTACTTTGAAGATTAACATGGGGTGAGCTTTGAGTGATTAAGGTTTGTTTTCAAAGGAATTTGTTTTTTATCTTGCTTGGGAGAAAAGATGCTTGTTAAAATAGCTGGTCTGAGTCTTTCTAAAGGAGGACAGCAAACTGTGAGTATGTTAATTCTTGTCAACACGACTTTGTGTAGTCGCTCTTTACTGACTTGAATTAATACATTTTCCCCCCCGAAATATCTGCCTCATCATTCGAAGTAGATTTTAAGTATATATAATAAAGACTTTGTATTTATTTACACTTTTTAATTTCAATCTATTGTTTTTTGTTTTTGTTTATTGCAGTAACATTGGTTTATAACATTGTATAAATTTCAGGTGTACATCATTATAGTTCTATTTCTGCACGGATTACATCCTGTTCTCATGTTCAATGCCTAAATACTAATTACAATCCATCATCACATACCTGTGCCTAATTATCCCTTTTGCCCTCCCCCCTGCCCTTTCCCCTCTGGTAACCACCAGTCCAATCTCTGTCTCTATGTGTTTGTTTGTTGTTGTTATTGTCTACTACTTGATGAGTGAAATCATATGGTATTTGACCTTCCCCTCTGACTTATTTCACTTTGCATAATACCTTCAGTGTCCATCCATGTTGTCACAAATGGCTGGATTTCATCGTTTCTTATGGCTGAGTAGTATTCCATTGTGTATACATACCACATCTTCTTCGTCCATTGTCCCTTGATGGGCAGTTAGGTTGCTTCTTGGCTATTGTGAATAACGCTGCAGTGAGCACAGGGGTGCATGTATCTTTACTCATTGGTGTTTTCACGGTCTTTGGATAAATACCCAACAGTGGAATAGCTGGGTCATATGGTAGTTCTATCGTTAATTTTTTGAGGAATCTCCATACTGTTTTCCATAGTGGCTGCACCATGTTGCACTCCCACCAGCAGTGTATGAGAGTTCCCTTCTCTCCACATCCTCTCCAACACTTGTTGTTTCTTTTATTGTTAATTATAGCCATTCTGATGGGGGTGAGGTGATATCTCATTGTAGTTTTGATTTGTATTTCCCTCATAGTTAATGATGTTGAGCATCTTTTCCTGTGCCTGTTGGCCATCTCGTTATCGTCTTTGGAGAACTGTCTGTTTAGGTCTTTTGCCCATTTTTTAATTGGGTTGTTAGTTTTTGAGATGCATGAGTTCTTTATATATTTTGGAGATTAACCACTTATCAGATGTATGGTTTGCAAATATCTTCTCCCAATTGTTAGGTTGTCTTTTCGTTTTGTTGATGGTTTCCTTTGCTGTGCAGAAGCTTTTTAGTTTGATGTAGTCCCATTTGTTTATTTTTTCTATTGTTTCTCTTGCCCAGTTAGACATGGTGAAAATATGTTGCTAAGACCGATGTCAAAGAGCGTACTGCCTATGTTTTCTTCTAGAAGTTTCATGGTTTCAGGTCTTACATTCAAGTCTTTAATCCATTTGGAGTTAATTTTTGTGTATGGTGGAAGGCAAGGGTCTACTTTCATGTTTTTGCACGTGGCTGTCCAGCTTGCCCAACACCATTTGTTGAAGAGACTTTCCTTTCTCCATTATATGTTCTTGGCTCCTTTGTTGAAGATTAGCTGCCCATAGATGTGTGGATTTATTTCTGGGCTTTTGAGTCTATTCCATTGATCTGTGTGTCTGTTTTTGTGCCAGTACCATGCTGTTTTAGTTACTATAGGTTTGTAGTATATTTTGAAATCAGGGAGTGTGATACCTCCAGCGTTATTCTTTTTTCTCAGGATTCTTTTAGCTATTCGGGGTCTTTTGTTGTTCCATATAAATTTTAGGCTTCTTTCTTCTATTTCTGTGAAAAATGTTGCTGGAACTTTGATAAAGATTGCATTGAATCTACAGATTGCTTTAGGAAGTGTGGACATCTTTAACTATGTTAATTCTTCCAATCCAAGATCTCGGAACATCCTTCCATTTCTTTGTGTCTTCTTCAATTTCTTTCAGCAATGTTTTATAGTTTTCAGTATACAGATCTTTCACCTGTTTGGTTAAGTTTATTCCTAGGTGTTTCATTCTTTTTGTTGCAATTGTAAATGGGATTGTATTCTTAATTTCTCTTTCTGCTGCTTCGTTGTTAGTGTATAGAAATGCAACTGATTTTTGTATGTTGATTTTGTATCTTGCAACTTTACCGTATTCTTTTATTACTTCTCAAAGTTTTTGGTGGATTCTTTAGGGTTTTCTGTCTATAAAATCATGTCATCTGCAAATAGTGACAGTTTCACTTCTTCCTTTCCCATTTGAATCCCTTTTATTTCTTTCTCTTGCCTGATTGTTCTGGCTAGGATTTCCAATATTATGTTAAATAGGAGTGGTGAGAGTGGGCATCCTTGTCTGGTTCCTGTTCTTAGAGGGATAGCTTTCAGTTTTTCACCATTAAGGATGATATTAGCTGTGGGTTTGTCATATATGGCCTTTATTATGTTGAGGTACTTTCCTTCTACACCCATTTTATTCAGAGTTTTTATCATAAGTAGATGCTGTATTCTTGTCAAATGCTTTCTCTGCATCTATTGAGATGATCATGTGATGTGATTTTTATTCTTTTTTTTTTAAATTTTTTGTTTATTGCAGTAACATTGGTTTATAACATTGTATAAATTTCAGGTGTACATCATTATACTTCTATTTCTGCATAGATTACATCATGTT